TTTGCTGAACACCTGAACTGGAATAAAAGGCGTCAATCAGCCCTGCCAATCCCCCAGCAGCCTAACCAACCGCTTGCTCCCCAGCTCAGCTCTAGAGGGCCCCTGGGGCCAAGGCATGATGGGAAGAAGGCTGAAGTACTCTGCTGGTCCTCAGCACTATATGCAAGTCTCCCAACTTGGGACTCTGAAGTAATTCTTAGGACCACATTCAGTCCCTACTCAGTTCCTACTCCTCACCTCTTCTCGTCCCTCTACAGTTTTCAGAGATAAGAAACAAAGATGTACCCCCCTCCCCCAGGTAAGAATGTGCTCCTCTTGTGGGTACTAGAACCACCCTCTCTACCTTCGTCATCCCTGCAGAAAGTGGTAGCACTGGTGGGCCCACTTGGCTAGGCAGCGGGACACATCAGAAAGCCACTGCCTTCCTCAGTCTGTCTCCCTTTCTCTGAGAACAAATTTGAGGGAAGAGTTGGGAATTTTCTAGAATGCCCTGTCCCTGGGACATTTTTCTCGCTATTCAGGATCTATCCTGTCTCAAACATGTAGGCTGTGGTCCCCATTTCCAGCCTTAGGACAGAGCATCTCACTCCCTCCATGTAAGGCTGAGAAGCCAATTCTGTCACCACCTGACATTCTGACTCACCTTGAGGCTGTTGCCTCCTGCTTCTTCTGTTCTTCCAGGACTAAAACAAGACAGGCAACAATGTCTAGCGGGCACTGTGTCCCTCCTGTGTCCGCAGTACCTTCCACTGTCCCTAGAGTATTGTCCCTCTTGCCCGCCAGTCTCACAATCCATCTTTGCTTAGAGATGTTTGTTTGGGGTTTTTCTCTCGTTTGCTGCTCTAATCAATCCCCACTGAACACCGAAGCAGGCTATTTTTGCTGTCAGAAATCTGCCGCCTCCCCGCCCGCTGCTTTCTTGGAATTTGCCCACAGGACCCCCCAGGAGGGACAAACGGGGATGGCAAAGCCACTTGGATCCCAGGAACACCAACGCCACCTGTCATATTGCTGTTCCCCACACCCCCATCCTAACCCATGCATGCGCACAGGCCCACACACTTGCAGACACACCAGTACGCGCACAATCTCAATGACAGGCTTCGGGAAAGCCACCTCCCAACCTGTCCTTCCCAGGTCTCCCTCCCAGAACCTTCTAGAGAGATTCAAGATGGAGTGGAGGCTTAGCGGCAAAACGTCCACAGAGTGAAAAGCACTAAGAGAAAAAAGTGTTGGAGCTTGCCTGGACTGCAGCGAGGGCCCAGCTCTGAAAGAGGAGTTGTTGACTAGGGCTGGGCAGGATGGTCATGACCTTGTCATTTCTCCATAGCATCAAGTGAGTTTCTACCCCCTCCTAAGACTCTCCCACCCACTTCTTTGTCCTAGAAAAATTTCCTTACCGTATATGTGGGAAAACTGAGTCCTCAAGGCTGAGGAGACAGGGAGAGAGACTCTGAGGTCAGTCCACCAGAGGGCACCCAGGAACAGTGTAAAGTTCTGAAATGAGGATGGGCTTGGGGCACTTGCTGGGTCTACAAAGTTCAGGGGAAGAGCCCCACGTTGGGGGTGGGGGCTTTAGTTCACTTTGATTGAGTTGAAATATTGAGCCATCTTGAGAGTCTCTCCGTGGTGTGGATGTGGAAGCTGTAATCTGTCTCCCCCCTGCCTTAGTCTTTACCAGAGATGTGAAGAAGAAGATAAAAACAAGGATGCTTAAGGCCACCATCTGGGGTGTGGTGAGATCAGGGGCCCCCTCCAGGAGGATATAGCCTAGACTCATACCTCAAGAGCAGAGCATCCGAGGAACCCAGAGAAAGCCCCAAGAGGCCTTGAGTAGGCCAGACATGCTCTTCACTCGGTAGAAGTTTTTTTTATTTATTATGTATACAATGTTCCGCCTGCATGTGTCCCTGCAGGCCAGAAGTTGGCACCAGATCTTATTAGAGATGGTTGTAAGCCACCATGTGGTTGCTGGGAATTGAACTCAGGACCTCTGGTAGAACAATCAGTGCTCTTAACCGCTGAGCCATCTCTCCAGCCCTCGGTAGAAGTTTTGCCCACCCAAGCTTCTCCACCATATTTGACAGGTGCCGTGTAAGGTCCTGGAAGGGACAGGCTGGGAGGTAGTTTTGCTGAGTCTGCAGTCAAGGAGTCTGGTTTTGTTTTGTTTAGGACAGAATCTTGCTATGTAGACCAGGCTAGCCTAGATTTCAATCCTCCCGTCTCTACCTCCCAAGTACTGGGCTGAAAGGCATGTGCCCCCATGCCTAGCTGGAGTGTGGCCTCCATTAGGAAGATTGTTGGGGGCTGGCATGGGTACCAGAGGCCTAACCCAGGCACTAAGGAGTGCAAGCTCAGGCCTCAGGTACTCCTGTATCCCAGTTTACCCTGGCCCTTCAAAGACTCTCTGATGTGCAGTGCGTATATGAGCAGAACCTGAGGTCAGCTCAGTCCTGGTTAGAAAAGTGGGATTTGGCTGCCTGGTGGACCAGCCAGGCTTTGGGAACCTATGTCAAGTGCTTTGCCACCTGCCTGCCTCAGAGGCCCAGACTCCTGGGCAGGCACGGAAGTGGCTTTAGGCTGTGTCACAGGGTCAGGCTGAATATCCCACCCCTCTGCCCTTCTCTTTGAAAAGGAGGTAGAAAAGCCTGCCACAGCAGCAGAGGCAGGAGGAGGGAGCGCTTTGTAGTAGGGAAAAGCCCTTGAGAATGGGGCACGGCTGGGGGATCCAGTTTCCTGTTTATGTCTCTGCACCTTAGCTCCAGGTTCAAATATGTAAACTATCCACTGGGCCGGCTGCAGGTGTGTGTGCTCCCAGGCTGGGAGGCAGAGGTGCCCCCAGTGCATTCCTGACTCCTGGCCCCCACCCCAACACAGGGTGTCTGGCTGCAAATAACTCAAGGTTAACCCTTCCCAGGCCATGAAGGAAAGCTATAGGGAAGAGGGCTCTGGAGCTAGCTAGGCCTTGGGGTATTTGGGGGAGATACTGGAAAACGGTGCTCTGCACTTGGGGGCATCTCCTTAGGGGGGTTTCATGGTTTAAACTTGGTCTGCAGGATGGAGACGGGGCTGATCAAGCAGGCCCAGCTGAGTGGTAGTGTTTATTCATGGCAGGCTGGACATGTTCATGGCATCACAGGTTCTGGGGCAAGAGGTACCAGCCAGCATGTACTGAGCAGTACTGTCAGTGTCCTTCATGGTCCCTGCAGCTCCTGCTCTCAGAGGCTCGGTACCTTTTTCCAGACACTTTTCTATGACAGCCTCCATTCAGCTCTACCCGCCTGGGCTTGAAGGATCCCACCAGGTTAGACACACAGATTCCTGGTTGCCTCAGCCAACAGCCTGAAGCTGGGTAATCTCTTTCCCGTGGCTGTTCAGCACTATCCCATCTCCCTGGAGCTTGGGGGAGTTGCCTTGTGGATATAGCCAAGTCCCAGCCTTCTCAGGCCAACCCCCTGGGGCTCTGATGCTGGTGTCCCTCTGGCTGTACCTATGCCTCTCTGAGCCTTCATCTCTCCATCCCTCCATACCCCCATCTGCCAGCTACTGTGGCCACTGTGCCGTTTCCAATGTGGTATATAAAGGCCAATTATTGCTTGCTACGTCTCAGTCCTGCCCAGCAGCAGAGGAGTCCTCAAGAGAAGGAACAACACTTGTCCTTTGCTCTGGGGAGTTGGGAGGGCCTGGAGCTGGTGAGGGTAACTGGAAAACCTATAGTGTCCAATCATACTATGGACCACAAGTTTAGATGACACTACCAGGCAGGGCCTGGAAAAATTCTTGTGGAGAACCTTGCCTTCCTGCCCTTCATCTCAGAAAGGTGACCTATTACAAGTACACTTGGTTATAGAAAAGAGGAGGAAATGGTGGCCTGTTGACATAGGGGACGCTGGGGTCCTTATCCTGGCTTCCCCCAGTTGAGCCCAATGGTGAGGCCCTCAGTGGTCTCCATACACATGAGATCTGGAGATGGTAGATCATTGGCCCCAGACCCGGCCATGGCCAGAGAACGAGAGGGGTCCTCACAGGTGGCTGGCTGACTTGCTTCAGAAAGGAAGTAGGACTACATGTCCCCAAGGTCAGCACTGAGTTGGCACTGGGAAGTCTCGGTGTGAGGAGGTTCCACAATCTAGCTACTAGGGGCAAGGCCATCATAGGGACCACTGTGAGACATGATTCACTTGGTACTGAGGGCCTTGAGGTGTCTGGGTACCCTATGCCACTGTTCATCTGCTCGTGCTGGCCGCCTCATTCCCTTCCCCACCCCGCGAATGTGGCTGTTCCCCTCCATCTGCTCTCCCGGGCAAGCTCCCCCACTCTGGAGGCGCTGGCTGTGCACACACATCCAGCTCCCTCTTGCCCAGAGCTCAGAACTCTGGGCCCATCTGCTGCTCAGGCCGGTCCACCCAGAAGACCCACAGGCACCCCAGCCTCTGCATGGCCAGCCCACCCCCTTCCCAAATTCCTTGCCTCTGAGAATGGTATCACCACCACCACCACCTCCACCACCACCGCAGCTCCCGAGCTAGAATTAGGAGTCATCCACGCCCAGCCCAGTCATCCTCGACACCTCCTTCTCACCCCCACATGCAATTGGTCATCAACTCTGTAGATGTCATCTTCAGAAAGGCTCCTTGGCACACTCTTCCTCCTACCTCCGTGGACAGCATCAGAAGACAGGACCTAAGAACTTTCTGGCTCCAATAGCTGCTCCTCTGGGAGGCTCCCTTGCCCCCTTGCTGTCCCTCCCCATCCCCCGACCCTGCCATGGTCAGAGAGGCCTTTCTGAAACCTGGGTTGCCCATTCCTGCTCACAGTCCTCCCATAGCTCCCTGATTCTCTTAGATGATGACTAACACCTCCAGGTAGTCTAAGAAGTCTTGCCTGTCCTAGGCTGACATCTCTACGTCCCCGTGACCACCCCTGCTCTTCTTCTTTTCCACAATGCACGCTGGCTGGCCAGCTGGTTTCTTCCCCTTAATTGAGCAAGTATTGCCTACCTTCTCTTATCCAGATCCTCCATTCTCTTCCAGGCCCACCTCCTCTGAGAAGCCTCCCTTCCTTGTCCCTTCATCACACATGGTAACCCCAAGGCCCTCCCCAGTTTCCATGGTGCTTTGCTTGTCTCTTTCTGACTCCTCCCTTAGACTTCCAGCTTCTCCAGGGCAGTGGGCTGGCCCTGTCCATCACCATTCACCCAGCATGAGCGTGTGGAGTTGGCTAATGTGAACATGTGCCTACACTGAATGAAAATGAGCAGGAATCGCCGCTCTGTCCCCAAGACCCTAATCTCGAGTCTTGTTTCCGTTCTACCTGGTGCCCTCAGCTCACTGGGGGCCCAGGGAAGCCTGGGTGCAATGATGAAGAGGCCTCAGTTTTTTGGGGGGTGGGGGAAATGCTGTGTTCTGTGGGAAGCGAGCCCTGCAGGCCGTGGCCCTGGGCCTCGGTCCTCCACCTCGGTGGCGAGCAGCCTCTAGGATTTTAATGTGGGCCTCAGTGCTTCAGTGAAAGCTGCATGGGGAGCTGCTAATAATGGCACTAAAATAAAATATGCTACATCTGTTATGGGTAGCAGAACAAAATTAGCTGCTCACACCTCTGACATCCAAGATGTCTTAACTTAAAATACTCCTTGGCTTACTTTACATCATTTACTGATTATATTTAAAAGAAATACAATTTTGCAATTACTGTTCTTTCCAGTGTGGTATCTATGCATCATTTTCCTTTTATGTTTATATATTTCTCCTTCATTAGTGCAGTCTGAAGGGTGATTAGGATTCTTCAAACATTTTACAGAGGTTAAACGTTGATTAAGATTTAATTATTACTGTAAATAGCTTGGAATGACATATGGTGCAAAAGCCTGACATATGTGCATTTGAATAAATGAAGTGCTATTTCCCAGGATGCCTTGGTAGCTGTTTAACAGCTTTCCCGAAGGGTTATGTTACACCTCATGGTAAGATTGCTGGGATGTTATATTTTGTTGGTTTTTGCAGCTGAAAGCTAAGAACAGTTTTCCAGTTTTTTAAAAACATTGAATATTTTAAATACCTAAATTGTTTTGCACAAATTTTTGCTAATTTGTCTAACTAGGTTAAACATTTTCAAAAGCATTTAGATTTTTCAGCGTGGGCTCTGCACATTGTGTCAGTGGCGGCATGGGGACGAGGGGATCTGGTGGGGTGGAGGGGACTCTGGGGAGAGGGGTGGGGCAGGAGCAGGTCCTGGGTCCTGAGCCTAGCGTGTTAGGGTATCTGGGAGTACAGAGGATAGGTGCCCCTTCTCCAGGTTCCCATCCATGCCCACCAGCTCCAATCCTCACCAAACTCCTTGCCTGGACCTTGACCTACAATGCCCTGGCTGAACTCTCCGAAATCTCCCTGGTTTGTGCTGCCCTCTGGCCACATCCCAAGGCCTCCATGACTTTACATGACATGTACATGATCACGTTCAACTGAGCTACAGCATAAAGGCCTGGTAGTTCCATGATCTTACCTGGGTCACATGCCAACCTGGGTCACATGCCAACCCAACAGAGCACCTCCCTCATTGGTTCACCTCATGCTATCCCTTCTGGATCAACGAGGAGCTGAAAGCCAACATCTGGGCCGCTGTGGTTTCTAGAAGGATATAGTCTCCAGGAGTTTGCTGCCCATTTTCTTTCCACCCATTAATTTGTAGTGATAGGAGCGGCGGGGCTGCATTCCCAGCACCCCGGCCTCCTGGCTAGCTTATGCCCCGAAATAATTACACGGACACTGTATTCTTTTAATCACTGCTTGGCCCATTTCTATCTAGCCTCTTCTAGGCTAACTCTCGTACCTGGACTAGCCCATTTCTAATATTCTATGTAGCACAGCTAGGTGCGCTTACCGGGAAGATTCTAGCCTACGTCCATCCTGGGTTGGAGCTTCATCGCGTGTGTCTGCCCAGGAGAGCGGAGCATGGCGTCTCTGTCTGAGGCGTCTTGCCTCACTTCCTCTTCCTCCCAGCATTCTGTTCTGTTTACTCCACCCACCTTTGTTCTAAGCTATGAGCCCAAGCAGTTTGTTTATTACTTAACCAATGAAATCAACAGATTGATATATGACACTCCCACATCATTAATTCATCCAGAGAGACTCTAGAACTGTGCTAGGCCTTAACAATTCAGAGTGAACAAGACCCACAGGTCTGCCTTTAGAAAGGCAGAGGGTGAGTGAGCAGTCAGCCCCCCCAGCACTGTGATGTCACTTAGATATGAGAAGTGCAGGGGTCTTGAGCCAGAAAGGTTGTCCTACCCAGCCTAGATGAGCAATGGTGTATAGCGAGGCCTATAAAACTGACTGAAGGCAGAAAAATGGTGGGAATAAGAATGGGGGTGGGAGGATGCCTCTAACAGACAGGCAACCAAGTCAGACTTGGTGTGAGGCAGGGAACAGCCCCGTTTGTCTAATGAGCCCAAAGAAGTACATATGTCGGTGGGGACCGAGGGCATGGTTTCAGGCCACTGGACCATTTTTTTTAGTGAGGATAGGGTCAATCAGACCTGAGATTCAGAAGGCAGTAGGCTGAAGTGGATAGATCTCAAGGGAAGGAAGGGGGAGGGGAGAGAAGAGAGGGAGAGGGAAGGGAAAAAAAGAAGGGAAGGGAAGGGAAGGGAAGGGAAGGGAAGGGAAGGGAAGGGAAAGGAAGAAGGTCCAGGGTCTTTAGTCAGACAGCCATTTGATAAGGGTGTTATTGCCCATATCATGGAGCTGGGGCTAGGACAGCAGGAAATAGCAGACTCGGTTCCTTTTCAGAATGGTTGAGTTTATGTGCCCATAAAGCATCCATCATCTTTGTGAAGTCAGCAGTCAGCTGTTGGCCTGTGGCTCCAGGGAGAACCACAACTGGACTCCCTTCAGACATGATGGCTACCAGAGCCCTGCCAGACCAAGCCTGAAGTACACAAGAAGTGTCCAGTAGGTGTCAAATGAGGGTGACAGTGACCTTGCAGAGAGAGCTTTCTATAGAGGAGAATGGGAGCAGGAGCCAGATTTGCTGTGGGCTGAAGCCAGTGGGAGTGGACAGGTGGACTTAACCAGAATGGACAATTTAAAGCAGTGTGGTTGCTGGGGAGAAGAAATACCAGGCCACAGGCAAGCCTGCCACGGTGCAAAAGGAGTTTCCTCAGATGCAAGGTTCCTATGGCATTAGATACTCATGGGGGGAAGTCAGTGGACAGCAAAGTTGGGAGAGACAGACATCTAGGAGAAGGCCGTGCAGAGGCAGGAGGAAGGTGGGGCCGGGCGTGTTTCTGCCTTCTGAGGGGGCAAGAGGGAGGGGCAGAGTGTGGACCCTGGCAGGCTATGGGTTGGATTATGGGAAGCTGAGAGCCGCTCCCCACTAGTACACCGTGGAGTGAGCTGCTGAGGTGACTGAGAAGATGGAGCGTGGCCTCCGTACGATGGGAGGTGGGGAGGTGGACTTGAGCAGGCACTGGGCCCAGGGGAAGCTGTTGCCAGCTACCGCAAGGGTCGGGCTGAAGTCAGGGACAGTGGGTTTTGAGGATCTCTGTGAGGTAGTCAAGTTGAAGGGCAGACATGGGCAGAGCTAACGCAGGGCTTCTACCAATCAGGGCTAGAAGCATCCTTGTGTCTGGGAAGTAATGGTCCCTGAGTGCTGAGTTGGGGCGTGTGTGTGTGTGTGTGTGTGTGTGTGTGTGTGTGTGTGTTTATCTGAGACCTTCAGTCCAGGAGAGCAGTGAAATGGGTGCTGTCAGGGGAGAGGCTTGGGGGGCAGGTAGAGGAGGGAGTTTCATATGTGCTGGCAGTATGGGGAACAAGGGCATTTGCAATGAGGGACACCCAGAATCTAGACAAGAAAAAAAACCTATCCCTAAGCTGGGAGGTGTGATGTAAGAGGAAGCATGCATACCCCTCACTAGGACATGTGGGCTGGGGGACATGCACAGGGCAGAACTGTGGATACCAGGGCAATCCTTAGATCCAGTGCACTTCTCTTCCTGCGCACCCCCCAACTTCTTCACTTTTCTCTTTCTCTCCTCAGATTGAAACCTCCCAGTTGGAGCCTGAGATAGCCCGGGCTACAAGCAGCCGGACTGTGGTGTACAATAAGGGGCTATGAGTGAAGATCAGCCGGCCTGGAAACACAACACTGTCCAGGCCGGATGTTCGGGGCGGGGAAGAAGTCTCATGAGCTGTCTCTGCAGGGAGGGGCTGCCAGGGGAGCAGTCACCCTCCAGCAGAAGGGAGTCTAACCATTCCCATTCTAACATATAGGAGAGCAATTCTGACACATTTGCTACACAAGAATCAAGTGCGTCCCTGGGCCTTACATGGGGTGGACAGACTCCGCTCAGCTCAGTTCCGTCTGAGCTGAGGAACTGTAGAGTGCTCCCGGGGTAGAATTAGGATCCTTTTATATGTTGGGTTTTTTTTTTTCGTTTTAATTTTAATTTTTTTATTAGAAGCAAGTCTGAGCCTTGGTTGCAGCTGACCAGAAGCAGCAGGTGGATAGGTGGACAGGTGGAGGGAGCCAGAGGGGCCTGGGATCTGGTTTGGATTGATGGAAGGGAAATGTGTAATGGCTAGGCTTGATGGGCCCCTGAGTTAGAGAAGGAAGGGGAGGTGGTTTGCACCCCACAGCGTGGAGTAGCCATGATCCCTTAAGGTCCTCAGGAACTGACTCACTTGCTAAGGGAGCCTGAGAGACCTCTGGAAGATTTCGGGAGCAGGGGCCTCTGAATGTAGCCAACTCCTGTCCACACCACAGTGGAATGGAAATCAGTGAGCCCAGACCCCTGAGAGCTCTCCAGCTCTAGACAGGGAGCCCCACGAAGGATCATTGTTCTGTGTGAACAGGAAGAGGAGCCTGTCTGGGCTCTCTGGGGAAGGTTCTTTTCCAAGAGTAGCTAAAGTTTTAAACTGGGACAAAGGAAGGCTGAGCCCACTGCTGTGCAGTCTGTAGCCACCGACCCTGTTCGTCCCATCTCACACCTTCCTGCAGAGGGGAGCCTCCTGCTCGAGGGTACAAGGCCATACCTCTGGCAGCTGCCTGAGAGGTAGCTCTGGGACTGGCGGGCTCTGTGGCAACCGGTGGA